TTCGAAACTTTTTCCCTAATTTATTGGTAGTATTCCTGAACGATTATCTCGCGAATTAAGTTTTTCGATATTTTTTCCGAATTTGTTTTCTAGTTTAGCTCAGCATCCGCTGGACCAATCAAAAAGTGCGCCATATATTTTTTATTCGCTACTTTTTGCTAAAGAATATGGCGGTAATCCTGAACAATTATCTAGCGAATTTAATTTTTCGAAAATTTTTCTAAATTATTTTTAAGTGTAGCTCAGCATCCGCTGGACCAATCAAAAAGTGCGCCATACATTTTTTGTTCGGAACTTTTTGACTATTTTTTTGGTGGTATTCCGGAGCGACTATCTCGCGAATTTAATTTTTCGAAATTTTTCTAAATTTGTTTTCTAGTTTAGCTCAGCATCCGCTGGACCAATCAAAAAGTGCGCCATACATTTTTTGTTCGAAACTTTCTCCCTAATTTATTGGTGGTATTCCCGAACGATTATCTCGCGAATTAAGTTTTTCGATAATTTTTCCGAATTTGTTTTCTAGTTTAGCTCAGCATCCGCTGGACCAATCAAAAAGTGCGACATACATTTTTTGTTCGAAACTTTTTCCCTAATTTATTGGTGGTATTCCCGAACGATTATCTCGCGAATTAAGTTTTTCGATAATTTTTCCGAAATTGTTTTCTAGTTTAGCTCAGCATCCGCTTGACCAATCAAAAAGTGCGCCATACACTTTTTGTTCGCTACTTTTTGCTAAAGAATTTGGCGGTATTCCCGAACAATTATCTCGCGAATTAAGTTTTTCGATAATTTTTCCGAATTTGTTTTCTAGTTTATCTCAGCATCCGCTGGACCAATTAAAAAGTGCGCCATACATTTTTTGTTCGAAACTTTTTCCCTATTTTATTGGTGGTATTCGGGAGCGATTATCTCGCGAATTTAATTTTTCGATAATTTTTCCGAATTTGTTTTCTAGTTTAGCTCAGCATCCGCTGGACCAATCAAAGAGTGCGCCATACATTTTTTGTTTGAAACTTTCTCCCTAATTTATTGGTGGTATTCCCGAACGATTATCTCGCGAATTAAGTTTTTCGATAATTTTTCCGAATTTGTTTTCTAGTTTATCTCAGCATCCGCTGGACCAATCAAAAAGTGCGCCATACATTTTTTGTTCGCTACTTTTTGCTAAAGAATTTGGCGGTATTCCCAAAAGATTATCTAGAGAATTTAATTTTTTGAAAATTTTTTAAAAATATTTTTGAGTGTAGCTCAGCATCCGCTGGACCAATCAAAAAGTGCGCCATACATTTTTTGTTCGCTACTTTTTGCTAAAGAATATGGCGGTATTCCCGAACAATTATCTCGCGAATTTAATTTTTCGAAAATTTTTCCAAAATATTTTTGAGTGTAGCTCAGCATCCGCTGGACCAATCAAAAAGTGCGACATACATTTTTTGTTCGAAACTTTTTCCCTAATTTATTGGTGGTATTCCCGAACGATTATCTCGCGAATTAAGTTTTTCGATAATTTTTCCGAATTTGTTTTCTAGTTTAGCTCAGCATCCGCTTGACCAATCAAAAAGTGCGCCATACACTTTTTGTTCGCTACTTTTTGCTAAAGAATTTGGCGGTATTCCCGAACAATTATCTCGCGAATTTAATTTTTCGAAAAATTTTCCAAAATATTTTTGAGTGTAGCTCAGCATCCGCTGGATCAATCAAAAAGTGCGACATACATTTTTTGTTCGAAACTTTTTCCCTAATTTATTGGTGGTATTCCCGAACGATTATCTCGCGAATTAAGTTTTTCGATAATTTTTCCGAATTTGTTTTCTAGTTTAGCTCAGCATCCGCTGGACCAATCATAAAGTGCGCCATACATTTATTGTTGGGAACTTTCTTCATATCACTATAGCGGTATTCTCGAACGATTATCTCGCGAATTTTATTTTTCGAAAATTTTTCCAAAATATTTTTGAGTGTAGCTCAGCATCCGCTGGACCAATCGCTACTTTTTGCTAAAGAATATGGCGGTATTCCCGAACAATTATCTCGCGAATTTAATTTTTTGAATATTTTTTCAAAATATTTTTGAGTGTAGCTCAGCATCCGATGGACCAATCAAAGAGTGCGTCATACATTTTTTCTTCGAAACTTTTTCCCTAATTTATTGGTGGTATTCCCGAACAATTATCTCGCGAATTAAGTTTTTCGATAATTTTTCCGAATTTGTTTTCTAGTTTATCTCAGCATCCGCTGGATCAATTAAAAAGTGCGCCATACATTTTTTGTTCGAAACTTTTTGCTCAATTTTTTGGCATTATTCCCGAGTCATTATCTGGCAAATTTTTTTTTTTGAAAATTTTTCCCCAGTTTTAGTGAGTGTAGCTCAGCATCCGCTGGACCAAGCAAAAAGTGCGCCATACATTTTTTGTTCGAAACTTTTTCCCTAATTTATTGGTGGTATTCCCGAACGATTATCTCGCGAATTAAGTTTTTCGATAATTTTTCCGAATTTGTTTTCTAGTTTAGCTCAGCATCCGCTGGACCAATCAAAGAGTGCGCCATACATTTTTTGTTTGAAACTTTCTCCCTAATTTATTGGTGGTATTCCCGAACGATTATCTCGCGAATTAAGTTTTTCGATAATTTTTCCGAATTTGTTTTCTAGTTTAGCTCAGCATCCGCTGGACCAATCAAAAAGTGCGCCATACATTTTTTGTTCGGAACTTTTTGACTATTTTTTTGGTGGTATTCCGGAGCGACTATCTCGCGAATTTAATTTTTCGAAATTTTTCTAAATTTGTTTTCTAGTTTAGCTCAGCATCCGCTGGACCAATCAAAAAGTGCGCCATACATTTTTTGTTCGAAACTTTCTCCCTAATTTATTGGTGGTATTCCCGAACGATTATCTCGCGAATTAAGTTTTTCGATAATTTTTCCGAATTTGTTTTCTAGTTTAGCTCAGCATCCGCTGGACCAAGCAAAAAGTGCGCCATACATTTTTTGTTCGAAACTTTTTCCCTAATTTATTGGTGGTATTCCCGAACGATTATCTCGCGAATTAAGTTTTTCGATAATTTTTCCGAATTTGTTTTCTAGTTTAGCTCAGCATCCGCTGGACCAATCAAAGAGTGCGCCATACATTTTTTGTTTGAAACTTTCTCCCTAATTTATTGGTGGTATTCCCGAACGATTATCTCGCGAATTAAGTTTTTCGATAATTTTTCCGAATTTGTTTTCTAGTTTAGCTCAGCATCCGCTGGACCAATCAAAAAGTGCGCTATACATTTTTTGTTCGACACTTTTTTTTTGTTCGAAACTTTTTGACTATTTTTGCTTCCTCGTGGAGGAAGCTTTGTAGTCCTTTCGTTTATAAAACTTTTTAAAGGGGCGAAAACAAATTTTTTTCTTTATAGAAACATGTGCTTATATTAGATCCTGATCAATTATCCGGATGTATGTATGTGCGTGTGTATGTGTGTGTTTGTGTGTGTGTGTGTGGATCCCTTTTTTGTTTAGAAGATAACTTTAACAGGTTTTAATTGATTTAGATAAAATTTGGTAGGCTCATTTATCATATTAATATCTCAAATCTGACAAAAGGATTTTGAAAAATACTCAAAAAAAAAATTTTATGGTCTTTTTTCCAAAAATTTTTTTTTAATCGAAAAAATTTTTAAATAGAAAAATTTAAGGTTATATATAAAAAAATCGTATACTTTACGTCAAGACGAATCGATCGATATATATAAAGTATTCATTTAAGGTAAATTTAAAGAATTAATGAAAGTCAAAAAATCAAAAATTCACATTTTGTCAATAAAATTTTGCTTTCTCCACGAGGAAGCAAATTTTTTTGCTGATCGTAAAGAGGAAGCAAAATGTTCATGTAATAGACATCTGAATTTACAACTTGTTTTATTCTGCTTCACGTTTTCAAAAAGTATACAAATTTTATGCACCTATGGTTGAGAGTAGAATTTTATTCTTAAACTTTTTCCGGGTTAAAAAGAAATGTCAATCTTAAAAAAATGAAATTCTTTTTGTTTTTTGATATTAAAACCGCCATATATTTAATTTTGGCTTTTACGAAATTTATTTTTGACGCTGGAATCGAAAAGAATATACTCTTAGACCTATAGGAAACGTACCTTCGATACACAATGATAACTTTTTTTTATTTATAATTGACGTATCTTAAAAATATACAAAGAATTCTAAGATTTTTGGCGTTAATGGGTTAAAAATTAGTACTCAAGGGTTTTTGGGGTCGTTGATTATGAATCCGCGAAGTCAAAATTCAAAATGACAGATCCGATATGGTGGACGATTTTTTCAAAAAATTTATAAACTTTGCCGAAATTTGAGTGAACAACATCAAAAATCCCCCAAATTTTTTTTTAAGAAAATACAATAATGTAAAAATAAAATAAAATAATAAAAAAATAATAAAATAAAAAATCATCCGCCATATTTGATTCGACATTTTAAATATTCGAAATTTTTATAATGACTTCAGATTCGTAATCAGCGATCCCAAAAAAACCTATTTTTTTAAGGAAAAAAACATTTTTTAAAAATATCGTCCGTCATATAGGATCCGCCATTTTGAATTTTAAAAAATTCACAGAAAATTAAAAGGCATTAAAATAAGCTGCAACGCTTATTTTAATACCTTTTAATTTTCTGTGTTAACATTGAATTCGTAAGCATCGACCCCGAAAACCCCTGAGTGCCAATTTTTAAGCAAATCCAAGTAATTTTTAAAAAGTTTGTCCGCCATATTGGATCAGCCATTTTGAATTTTGAAAAACTAACATCGAATTCGTAATCAATGACCCCGAAAACTCATGGATATCAATTTTCAGGAAAAAAAATTTCTATACAGTTTAGGCACTTTTTAACGAATTTCTTTTGCCAACAAAGGGGTTAATCTAATTGTAATCTTAACATTATAATAATTTTCATATACTTATGCGTCTCCTAATAGCTGGCACTTAAGAATAGAATACCTCAATCTCTTTATTTTGTGAATAAAATAATTATTTCTTGATTTCAAATAAATTTTTATAGAGCTTTTCTATTATAAGTTTGACTTAAAACAACAGCATTTGAAACGGCTATTCCCATAATCTAAAATATAAAAATATAGTAATAGTAAGTATTAAATTGATGACATATAATTTATTTATTATATAATAAACGATTAAACATATACTGATTTAAATGTTTCAAGTGAAAGAATATAAAATGGTCCTCCAGTTAGTGATATTGGACGTTGAGCACGAGCGGACATAATCAATACAGCATATTTAATTAAATGATTTTTTTTTTTATTATAAATTTTGTAATCTAAATTATCATAGGAAGAAACCCATTTACTTGAATATACAGCATATGATACATCTAGACCCTTAAAAATATTAAATACATATTTTCTTAGTAGATAAAAATAAAACACAAATGTTAATGTGTCTATTATCTATTAAAATTGAAAAATATATCAAACCAATTTTGTAATAGTGCTGGCAACGAAACAAAAGAAAAGTAGCTGCACAGCAATGCATATGGAAAATTCAAGTAAATTAAATATTTGAATTAAACATTGTATGCCAGGCTAAAACAAATGTAAACAGATTTTTTCATTTCATTTTGGAGAACGTAATGATGTATATATATATATATATAAAATAGCTTGAAGTAATTCTTTTTTCAAATCGTGAAATTAAGAAAAATTATTTATGTGTAAGACATCAAAAATATTGAATAATACAAAATAATATTACTTCAATTTGAAGTGTTGCTGCTTCAAAGGAGCACAAACAAATTATAACAATATTTTGTACACATTGTACAAACATACAGGGGCTTCCGACAATTTCTAACTTTTCAACAAAACTGTAATTAAAAAAAAAATTATAGCAAGTAAAAATAAAAAAAAACAGTAAAAAATTATAATAGAATATATAAATATAAAAAAAAATTCACTGCTCTTACCATAGAACTTCTTTATGCAATTCAACACAATTTCTGAGACGTTTTTCAAATAAATTATTGTCCTTCACTTTTTTCCTAAACAAATTTACTATGTATTATTATATCCTTTACAAATAAAATTTATTATATTAGTTGGTTCTAACTTAATTTATTTGATATAATAATAATAATAATAATAATAATAATAATAATAATAATAATTTTAATCATTACAATAGGAAGTGTAATAAAAGCAGCAAAACATGACTAAATCCATATTGTTGATGACTAATTGCAGATTTAATACATACAGAATGTCGGATTAAACCAGATTCATTTTGGATTCAGATTTTTAAACGGATTAATTCTATCTAGATTTTACAAAAACAGTCCGAAAATGACATGAAATATTCCGAAATTTTGGATTCGTTATGCACACAGATTGCCGACTAATTTCAACTCCTTTTCTGATATTAAGATTTTTGTTTAGATTGCGACTGCTGATTTTGTACATATTAATTCCGAATTTTTACAAACTTATTTCGGATTAGAATTTTTTACCAGATTAAATCAGAATTGGACTAATATCAGATTTTCCACACAAAGATTTCAGATTATTATATTACGGACTTATGTTGGATTTACTTTTTTTTTGACAGTACTTAAATCAGATTGTTGCATACTGTTTGAAGATATAGGTTTACATATAAATTCTAGATTATTTTGAATTCATTTTGGTAAGCTTCGAAAAGAACTCAACTCGGAAGTTAGCAAAGATTGCCTTATTGAGATTCGGGAATTAAAAAATTCTAGAAATGAAGCAGAAATCATACCGATCCAAAATAGGCGGACAGGTTGGAGAATTTAGGAGACATAAAACTTGTCTTGTCGAATTAAGAAAAGAGTTATATATTTGATTACAGACAATATAGGTTTCTATTTGTTACACATACCTATTAAAATCTAATTGCAGAGCTTGACTAAGAAATGTTAAATGCGAACAAATTATTATTAGTGTTGCCACATACAATTGATCGTAGCATATACTTCCCATACAACAACCAGTTACTCCACTTATTTGAAAAAAATATGACCATCCATAATATTGATGTTCATCCCATGGAAACCATCCTGGTAAGGGAAGTAATTTTGGCACCTCACTACTATTGTGCTTTTGTACATAAATTTCGTATAATCTAAATGAAATAGGATTAAACAAATAATGTAAAACAACACCAATTCCAAATGGAGGCCAGTAATAGGCATATAAACTTGTCAATTTTTGTGCTATCTTCATTTCTTTATGTAACATTTCTTTATCTGTAAATTATTTAAAAAATAAAAGTTACTTTTAGAAAGAAATCAATATACAATTTTCCATATAAGGTGCGGCAAAATTGTAACTTTTAAAAAAAGAATTTCTTTTTTTTATTTCTTTAATTATACCTTGATTATTTTGACATATTTCCAATGCATAATAATGACAATTATGAAGCATATTTATAAGATTTGTAATAGTGTCTATTTTCCACATGCAATAACACCATTTTATAATTCCTGTCATGTGAAAAGAAACAATAGCGAATTTATTTGCAAATTGTCTAACATCTTTGGAATCTTTAAAGCCTATTATCTCGGAGCAAATTAATAAAAAATTAGCGGACAAACATATTATAATAATAACACCAGTCCAAAATCTAATTGGCAATGAAAACACTTTTTTACTTTTGTATGTACGAAGAAGTTGTAAAAGATTAAAAGTATGTTGAACATAGTGATTTAAAAATGTCTCATTTAAAGTCATATTAGTAATTTTTAAAAGTTTGTTACATAATTATTAAAATTAAAAAAAAAATTAAGATATTAAACATCAATTCCTTATTATTTTTTATCAATATTCATTGAGAATTTTTTCTCTAAAAATTATTTTAATTCAGAATACTGATTTGTTAATTTTTAAAATTATATATTATGCAAATTTTTAATAATCTTTATAAATATTAGTAATATGAAAAAAATAAAAATCTTTTTTAAGTTATTAAACACTTCTTCAAACAGTGACTGCTGTGAAAATCTGTTCTTTCACAGGTGGTCTGTTAACTTAGTTCTTGTACCATATATTATTTATAATCAATAAAGTCTAGTCTACCATTACAGTATTAAACATTTCTCGATGAAGATATCATAGCTATATAATTTTCTAATTCAACGTATCTTCATAGTTCTAAAGTCTCGACAAACTAAATATCTAAACTTATAATATATGCTATATTGTTTCAAAAGTGTTTTCGAAATAGAAGCTTTTGTATATGAGTGAACTTTTATCATAAAATATTTGTTATTAAAAGTATTATTATAAAAAATTATAGTACAATAGGCTAATCCTAAGTAATTTGTGAATAAAGAAATGTCAATTTATTAAAAATAAATAATAGAAAATAAATAAAAATCTGAAATAATTGTATCCTTATTGTGGAACATTTTTTTTTCGTATCATGTTCCATATTCGATGTCCCCACAATGGAATAGTTGCTTGACTGAACAAATATTAATCTTTTATTACTTTATTATTATAATTTAACAATTTTTTAATATTACAGGTTTTAAAAAATTGTTCATAAAAAGAAAATATTTTAAAACTTCAGAATTACTATTAAACATAAATTAAATAAAATATTTTAATTGTAACTTTTTATATTGTTATATTCGTATATTTTTTCCGCTTTTATTTCCCTCTTAAGATTAAATGCATTCTTTTTACGATTCTAATCATAAAAGCTGGATTCAAAATTACATTTACAAATTATCTTTATTTCTTTTTGAAAACTTTCCCTAATTCTATTAAAAATCTTTCATAATTTGATCCCAATTCCAAAGAATACTGCCGTTTAAAGCTGGCGGTTATTGTTATTGTTAATGTCACTTTATATAGTTATGACTAAAAAATTTTATTTCTTGTACTGTGTATTTCCTTAATTTTTCACATTTTCTAAAAATTTAATAGAAATAAATAACCAAATTATTTCATAGCTATATTACGGTGCGCCAGAAGGTGGTTTAAATAAAAATGAATTGGCACTTAAAAATTCTTTTTGATTATGATTCTTAGATGAATAACAAATATTTCTCAATAGTTTTTAAAATTAGTTTACGTGCCCGATTTAAATAAAATTGAGTTTTTATATAAAAACAGTGTTTTATGGGGAATGAGAATTTATTTAATCTAATAAATACTGTAATAAATGATAAATAATTACTTATTTACATATAAATAATTATATTGCTGTAGTGTTTGTGTCCAATTTTAAAAAATTAAATTATAATGTTAAAAGAACGATTTTAAGAGTGACAAAATTTATTTAAAAGAGTCGAATGGTCTCTGAAATTTTTTGGCAAGAAGAGACCTTTAATTATCGCTCTATTAAAATGTCACTAAACGGAAAATGATAAACATTGATTTTAAAATACTTTCTTCTCGAAAGACGGACACTTTTTACAAAAGCAGCTAGAGATTCTTATCTTATATAAATTTCCTAAATCCTAAAGATAATACGAATCCATACAAAAACACGATTGCAAAACGAAAAGTAATATAATGACAGGTAAATTACCTCCTGCCGCCGTCAGATGGCAGCAGCATGCAGGGCGCACAAAGTCGCAGCTGTTATTAGATTACTTTTCTACTTTTTGTTTTGCAACCATGTTTTTCTATGAATTCGTACAGTCTTTTGGAATGAGGAAATTTATAAGATGAGGATTTTGGCAGATTTTGTTAAAAGTGTTCGTGTTTCGAGAAAAAAGTATTTTAAAATCAATACTATTTCACGTTCAGAGCGATAATTAAAGCTCTCTTCTTGCCAAAGAATTTCAGATACCGTTCGACACTCTTAATGCATAAATATAAAAACGAAACAAGAAAATAACTTCATTGTTAATAAATTTATATGAACCCAAATCTAAAACATCTATTATCTATACGCATATAAGTATACATTAAATAAATTCTGGTTCCTCATAAAACACTATTTTTAAATATTTAAAACTCAATTTGTTTTAAATTGGGCACGTAAGCTGATTTTAAAACCTATTGAGAAAAGTTTTTTATTCATCTAAAAACCATAATCAAAAAGAATTTTTAAGTGCCAATTCATTTTTATTTAAACCTCCTTCTGGCGCACCGTGATATTGGATGAGAATCCAGGCTCAAAATTGATTAAATAAATTTTAATATAGTAGTAATAATAATGAAAATTTTCAATAATTTCTAATTATTTTTTTATTTATTATTAAAATTTAAAAATTATGTTACATTAAGTAACAATATTTATTATTACAATTTTAAAAAATGACTGGTAATGACATTCTTTACAATTAATAATAATTGCAGAAGCTACGAAGTTACTGAAGTGCCATTTTGGAAATTTTCAAACGAATAATTTTTTCTATTTTTCTTAATTCATTTAATTTTTCCATTTTTATAAAAATTTTTAAAATTTATTTTTGTCGATGCAAAGATTAAAGAATTAACAAAATTTTAAGATTCATAAATTCATCAGTCCAACATTTATTGAAATGTATAATATACATATATATTTATTAATATTTATTATACCTAAATTGTTATTACAGTACAATCATATTATTTTTTTTATTGGTTAATATATTTATATATTCTAAAGCAATAAAAGAAATTAGTACTTTGAGAACCGATATTGACATTTTATTAAATTTGTAATATTATTAAAATAACATTACTCAATCATTTCAATTACATTTGAATCACTCTATGCTTTTCATTTTTATATCTATTTTTTATATTAAATACAATTGAATAAAAATATTGTATATCTTTCTGTTTAATATGATTAATAAACAAAGTAATGGTCATCATAAAACATACTTTGACATTTTCTCCCCTTACAACTTTTCACAAAATTTTGCTTATTAAATCGATAGGTCCCTACCGAAAATCATTTTAAAATATAATGTGAATAAATATAATTTCTACGTTTTTTTCTATTCAAATTCCTGTTCCAAATACGTATACGATTTTGCACGTTATGATGATTTGCACATATGATTTCCTACATGAATAGTCAGTAGATATTGGTCGAAAATTTAATTCTGATTGATGTAAAAGCTACACATATCCATGATTTTTTAATCTTAGACAATGTTTTTATCCAAATTTGAAGTTTAGAAGATTCAAAATAATCCAAAACTTATTTTTCTTCAGTCTCTATGAATTTCTTTTTCTTTTTGCTGTATTACCAATACTAAAGCGGATTTCAATTTTTTTTCATATTATATCAAATCAAGTGTAGATATAAGTTGTGCTTTTCGCTGATTATTTTATCTGAAAAAAATAACTTATTTCATTATTAAAATAACACTTAGCATTTATTAAAAGAAACCATAAAAAATTGATTGAGAACAATAATTGAATCACTTGAATGCAAAAAGTATCATTTTTTAAATACTTTTTTCAATAATTAAAAGTAATCTCAAACGACTGTAGAAATTTTAATATTTTATGTGCGATTTAACTTTTCAGCGATAAAATTTTAACCATTTTTTAAAATAAATAATTTCAGTGTTAAGAGTTTAATAACTATAAAAATTAAAATTTTCTTACCCATTAAAAGAAGCTCTTTGTGCATCAAGAATTTAATGTTTTTTTGTTTCTCTTCAACATCGAAATAAAACTTTCTCTTGTGTACCAAATATAAAATTATAATTGCCTAGAATTAATTCAAGAATAAAAACCATGAACGCAAGAGAATATCCAATGCCAAGTACATATAGTAGTACGGGTAAGAGTTTTTCTTTTGAAATTTCTTCTGGTCCTGAAATATTACTGAGTACAGGTACAGCTGATTTATAAAAATCTTTAAGTAATCCAAATTCTAAAATTCTTAATATAATTTCATTAATGCGATCGAGATTTGGTATTGCAAATGAATAGTCCAAAATAGTCACTGAATGTGCAATAACTTCTTGTAGTATTTTAAAATTTGATTCCCCATTTTTAGCTGTATATTTGTTAACATGATATTCAGCATTTTCAATAAGACAAGTTATATTTTGATTTTTAGCCAAGTAATCTAGACAAAATTCTTCTTCAAAGTCATTGGGAATGGTTCTATATACTATTTCTTCAATATCCTTATTACTTACGTAATCTAAAAATATATCCACTTTACTGCCCGTCATTGGTTTCAAATGCGATCTGGCAAGTTCAGCGATAGTAGAAATTTCAGGTGCCTTTCGAAAGCTGATGTCGATAATTACCGAGTAAAAATAACCTGTATAGACCATGCATGTAATTATTAAGGAGCCAAAAATTGCTCTTTCCATCCAATTCTCAGGTTCTGGATAACTACCCATTCCCATTATAATTTTACTGATGTTTAAAGTTTGCCATGTACTCCTTTTGAATTTCAACAAAAATGCTATAAATCGTATAACAACAATTGTACCAATTGTTATCAAAAACATATACCAAAATTCTGGTGAAAGATCAATATCTTTAGTGAATCTTGCCGTTCTTGGAATAACATATTTAAAGTCATTAATTTTTAATACTTGTTCATGTTTATTTAAGTGGTTATGACGAAAGAC